GGTCCTGGGTTTAACCAGGGTCGGCGCCACACTCGGCTGATTCCGGTACCGCCCGGCACCGCTCGGGCCCAGGTTCGGCCCAGCTCGGAACCGCTCGGCTCTGGGTGCGGTTCAGTCCGGTATCGCTCGGCCCCCCTSGGCCCCGGGTTCGGCCCGGCTCGGACGCGCGCGGCCCCGGGTCCGGCCCGGCTCGGCTCGGCCCCACGTTCGGCTCAGTCCGGTACCGCTCGGGCCCCCTCGGCCCCGGGTTCGGCCCGGTTCGGCCCCACTCGGTTCGGCTCCGTTGCCATGGCAACGCTCCCCCCTCCGCTCCCTCCCTCCCGCCCGCCCGGATCCCGCCGCCCCCCGGCCCCACCGAACCTGCGCCGCTCCGCACCGGCCCCTCGGATCGTGACATCACAGCCCGTTCCCACGGCAACAGCCGTGACGTAGGGAGGTGAGGGGGGGCTTGTGACGTCAGAGAGCGGAAGGCAGCGAGCGCCACTCACGGGCGCTCCGCGTGTACCGGCACCGCCGCCCCCGGAAAAACCCGGTGTTTTATTTAAAAAGCCACTTTTTTAACTGATCRAAGAGTGGTCTGATCACTCCTGTGCCTCTCAGCTCCGGGACACCCACCCAGCGCAGCTTCAGACCCTTCCCTGACGCTCCCACCTCTACCCCGCGTCCCACCATCACCATCGGGACCCACCCCCGTGGCGACACACCGAGGCCAAGTCCCAACATTGTCTTTTATTTATAAAAACACGCATTTATAAAGAGCGGAGAGTCGCGGGGAGGGGGGGCTCGGGCAGCACAGAGGCCCCCCGCCCCCGCCGCCACCACCGGGGGGTCCCGGGGGGTCCCGGGTGGCAGCTGCCGTTACGTGCGGGCGTTTCGCTCTGTCTCTGCCAGGCACTCCCTGACCAGCGCCCGGGCGTGGATGATCCCTGCGGGGAGAAGCACAGGGACACCTCGAATCACCCTCCAGTTGCTCCCCGCAAGGCTGGGGAGCCTCGGGAAAGCAGCCCCGGCGACCGCCGAGTTATCCCGCCGCCCCTACCCCGCTTCAGCCGCTCCATGGCGCTCTTGCTGCCGGCGTAGGTGGGCCGGATCTCCTTCCCCATCTCCTCGATGACCGAGAGCAGGTCGGTGTAGGTGCTCTGCGAGCCCTGTGCCCCGGGGGGCTTCATGGCCTGCGGGAACAGGGGGRCAAGGAGGGACGGAGGGGCTGGGGGCCGCCCCCGCCACCGCGCCCGCCCCCACCGGGCTCGGCCCCGCGCCTCACCTGCACGTAGCCCATGGACGGCGGCCCGAAGTCATTGAAGAGCGGCCGGAAAGGGGCGGCGGCGCCAGGGACGGAACCGGAGGGCGATGGGACACTCGTGGCTGCGGGAAACTGAGGGTCATGGCCGCACTCCCCYTTCCTCGGTACCTCCCTCATCCGGTACCATCCCTTCCTGGGCTACCCCCCTCCATCCCCCCGGTCCCTCTCCGCTCCCGGTGCCCCCAGTTCCCCGCGGTTACTGGCGAGTTCTCTCACCGGCGGATGGTGCCCCGGGCCCCGGCGGGGCGGGGCTGGCGCTGGCGGCTCCGGGGGTAGCGGGAGCGGGAGCGATGGGCTTGTAGGACATCCCCGACGGCCGCCCGCCGCTCCCCGATCCCTGGAGCCCCGCGGCGGGGGTCGGCGTGCGGCCCCCGCGCTCGCCCCGCCGGTTGTATCGCCGGTGCCCGCCTCTCTTCAGCTCAGCTCGGCCCCGCTCGGCCCGGCGGGAAGCCGGGAACCGGAGCGGAGCGCGGCGGCCCCGGTTCCCGGTAGCGCTGTGCGGCCCCGGCCTGACCCAGGTCTCTCCCCCCTCCGCCGCCGCTCGCGGTGATGACGCGAGCGCGTCACGCGCGAGACGTCATCACGCCGCCGCGCGCCCGCCGGCCGGTCACCGTGGAGACACGCGGCGTCGGCCCCGCCCCCGCGGAGCCTCCCCGATCACGTGACCCCGGTGCAAGCCACGCCCCCTCGGTCGGCGGGCCGCTCCGGGTCACGTGACCGGCCGCCGCGGGGAGGGGGCACCGGGAGCGGCACCATCGCCACYGCCAACGGACCCCGTGTCACCCACCCCACAGCCCCGAGCCGGCAGGGCAGGGCGTCCCGACTCGGCGGGGGTGAACCCCGGCCCCGACCTCGGAGCGTTATCTGCCGCCGCMGGTCCCGGGAACCGGCCCCACCCTCCGGCTGTGCATTCCCCGCAGTCCTGTGCCTGCACAGGTCCCGAGTGCCCGGGGTCCCGGCTCCCTGCGGGGCTCCCGTGAGACACAGTGGCCGCCCGGAGTTTTGGGGGGATACCAGTGGATAGCACGATCACCAAGAAATCGTTTGGAAGCAACATAAAACACAAGACGAAAAATTGTAGAGAGAGTTTTATCATTCAMAAGGGCAAAATTGGCCCCAAAACTGCAGCCAGGGCAGGGAGGGGTACCTGCAACAGCCCTGCCTGCAGCTGGCTAAAGCCCTTCCACCTGGTAATGCTTTATTTCTCTCCGCGAGGGTCTCCTGGCTGGGGTGCCAGGAGCCTCCTCTGTGCTGGGGGCTGCCASAACATCCGTGAGAGTCTGTGCCGGCCCCTAAAGGACAGGGATGCCTCACCCTACATGGGTCTGGGGTGGGTCTGAGCTCAAACCACGGTGACAGGGCAAGTTAGGCCATGTCGTCTGCATTAAACACCGTATGGGGGGAGCCTGTGGGGCTCAGCGCAGGATAGAGTGGGAACAGARCCTGGAGGGATGAGCAGCAGGGATGGTCCACAGCTGAAGGAGGGGGGACCACGATGGTTTGACTTTTAGGGTGAGATCAGGGTGGGAAGGGGGATGGTGCAGGAGAGCACAGAAATGAGGGTGAGAGCGGTCAAAGCTCGGCCAAGGCTGTGACGAAGAAGGTCCCACCATTGGCCCCGGTGCCCCCCACCATGGCCAGACCTCGGCATCGGAGCAGCTCCAGCGTTTAGCCTCACCCCAGGCTTGGGCGCCGCTGTGCCAGCACCGCCCCAGCCCCCGGAGCTGGGGGTCCCTCTGCRGCCCCCTCCTCTTCGTAAGGCACAGGGGGCTCGGCTCCCACGTTGGCATCCACTGCCCTCAGCGCGACATCATACGCACAAACTCTGCCGGAGGAAAACACACGCACAACATCCCGGATGTTCCCGGGGGCGCTCCCAGCCCCTTCCCTGGTCCTACCTTCGAAGTCCACGAGGCCATCACCATTGAGATCCACATCCTTGAGGATCTCATCCACCTCGCGGTAGTTGAGCTGCTGCCCCAGGAGCTTGCGCATGGCCTCCCGCAGCTCCGCCATGCTGATCTGTCCGTCCCCGTTGGTGTCAAACTACGGACAAGGGCTTGCTGTCACTGCCCACCCTTGGCACGCTGGCAGCCTGCCCAGCTGTCCCCCCTGTCCCCATACCTCACGGAAGGCATCACGCAGCTCCTTAATCCCRATCATATCCGCCGTCTCTGCCAGCATCTTGGGGCCCATCAGCTCCACGAAATCATCAAAATCCACCTTGCCCCCGGCTGCAGCAGGAGGCAGGTGTCAGTGGGGTAGGGGACACRGAGTGCCGGGGACCCGCCGCTCCACCACATACTGATCTGCTGGGATAGCTCGATGAGCTCCATCTCGGTGGGCATGTAGCCCATGGTCCGCATGCACTCGCCCAGGTCCTTGTAGCTGATGTAGCCATCGTGGTCCTTGTCAAACTCCTGGAATGCCTGCTTCAGCTCTGTGGACACCGCACCGTCACCACCGGCACCCCAGCACCATCACCCGCCCAAGTGGGACCCCCTCCCCAGCGCCTCACCTTCGATCTCCTCAGGCCGCAGCTCYCGATCCTGGGGAAGAGAAAACGGGAAGAGACGAAGGAGGGGTCCTACTCCCAGAGATCCTGCAGGGATCCTGCCCTAAACCCCCCAGGAACGCAGGCAGTACAGAGGAAGGGGACAGTTGCGTACCCGTTGGGTGATGGCGATGCTCTGCCGCAAGAAGATGCAGGCTGGCCCCACCAGCCCCTGCAGCACCGAGTATCCCTGCAGTGGGGGGGTCTGCGCCGGGTCCAGCACATCCTCGGGGTCCCCTGCACCGGAGCCCGGAGTGCCCGAGCGCGGCTTCCCATCCTGCGGACGGAGCGGGCGTCAGCGGCGAGCAGGGGCCGAGCAGGGACACCCTTGTCCTCCTCCTGCTGCTGCCCCGCGGGGTATCCCAGCCCGGCCRTACCTTGGGGAGCCGCCGCTCAGGGGTCTTGGTGCAGTTGCCCATGGCTGGGGGCTGCCCCCGCGCCGCAGGACATGCCTGGCCCCGGGGGGGCCGGCTGGCGCAGACCGTGGGGCTGCCACCGGGGATTTGAGGTTTTTATGGAATATCTGGGGATATGCAGGGCAGGCGCGGGGGGGGGGGTGCCGCGCCCGCGCGCATAATCCTCCGGATTATTCCCTGCTCGGCCGCCCTGCTCCAGATGTGGGAGCCGCCCAGCTGTTTCCCAGTCCCGCAGCCTCCTTGCGAGGGCACGCAGCCGCCCTGGCACCCGCCGTGCCCCGGCCCTGTCCCCGCCGCCGGTTACCTGCCCGAAAACGGGGGGCGGCCGGGACCCCAGCTCCTCGGCAGCCCGCTGACGCTCCATGGGGGACGCATCAATACGGCTTAACCTACCCCGGCTCCCCGCAGTGCCGGCCRTGCCGGGACCCCCGACTCGAGGGGCCGGGCGGGAGCGGCGGGCACCCCTCCGACCGGGACCGTGGGGCCGGGGGGTGCCCCGGCGGGTGGGGGGCGCGGGACTGCCAGCACCGCGCCGCTGCGACCCGCGGAAGAGGAAGAACATCCCGCCTGCTCCTGCTCCTTCTCCCCACGACCGGGAGACCAAGCAGGAGGAAACCAGATCCCCTCGCCCCTCGCAGCGACGAGGCCACCGCTGTCCCCGGGACCCACCGCGTCGCCCAGGAGATCGGGTGGAGCGCAGCGACCCCCCCGGGGCGCTGKCGGGGGGGAGCGGGGCGCCCCGGGGGGTTCCGGAGGGGGTGAACGGGRGTCTCCGGTTTCAGCGCCGAAACCCGAGCGGGGCCGGGCGCGGGGCACGTGCCGGCGCGCCGCCAGCGAGGCCACGCCCCCTCGGGGGCCGCGCGCCCGCCCCTGAACACGCCCCTCGGGATGGCCACGCCCCCTCCCTGTGGCCACGCCCTCAAGCAGACCCTAGTTCTGCTTCTCTCGCTGACGTCACTGCTGCGCCGCCGGCGCTCCCCCTGACGTCACCGCGGGGGCGCCTGAAGGTGACGGTGGTCGGTGTCGGTGTCGGTGCCGGTCCCGGTGCCCCCCGTCATGGCCGCCAGGCAGCTGCTGGCGCTGCGGCACCTGCCCGCCGCSGCCTTCTCGGTGAGCGGGAACGGGGCGGGGAGCTTGGGCGCGTGGACGGGTCCCCGTGTTCCCGGTGCTGAATCCGTGTRTCCCCGCAGACGGCGCCCAAGAAGACGCAGTTCGGGTCGCTCCGGGATGAGGACCGGATCTTCACCAACCTCTACGGGCGGCACGACTGGCGGTGAGTAGCGGGAGCAGCGGAGCGGGTTGCCGGTGTGCTGTGCCCGGTGCTATACCGTGCCCGGTGCCCGCAGGCTGCAGGGCGCCCTGCGCCGCGGCGATTGGTACAAGACGAAGGAGATCCTGCTCAAAGGCGTGGACTGGATCCTCGGCGAGATCAAGACCTCGGGGCTGCGGGGCCGCGGCGGCGCTGGGTTCCCCACCGGGCTCAAGTGGAGCTTCATGAACAAACCCCCGGACGGGAGGTAAGACCGGGACTGCCCAAAGCTCCGGTAGCACAGCCCCGCCCCGCGAGGAGCACCCCCTGACGTGAGCTACCCCCAGACCCAARTACCTGGTGGTGAACGCGGACGAGGGCGAGCCGGGCACCTGCAAGGACCGGGAGATCATGCGGCACGACCCGCACAAGCTCCTGGAGGGCTGCCTGGTGGCGGGGCGGGCCATGGGCGCCCGTGCTGCCTACATCTACATCCGCGGGGAGTTCTACAACGAGGCCTCCAACCTGCAGGTGAGAGGGGAGCGCCCCACAGCCACCCMGCACGCCCCGGCGTGGCTCCCAGGCTCACCAAACACCCCGGTTCCAGGTGGCCATCCGCGAGGCGTACGAGGCCGGGCTGCTGGGCGGTGACGCCTGCGGGTCAGGATACGCCTTCGACGTGTTCGTGGTGCGCGGCGCCGGCGCCTACATCTGCGGGGAGGAGACGGCGCTCATCGAATCCATCGAGGGCAAGCAGGGCAAGCCCCGCCTGAAGCCTCCTTTCCCTGCTGACGTGGGTACGGCCCCACAGCTCTGTCCCCAGTTCCCAGCTCCCACCTCAAAACAGTTGTCCCTGGGACACCGTCCTGTGCAGGAACACCACCAAGTCATTGAGAGCTCTCGCTGTTTCCCGCATGGTGTGGGTTGGAAGARACCATAAAAGACCATTTAATTCCAYTCCRCTTCCATGGGCCACCTTCCCTAGCCCAGGTTGCTYCAASCCMTGTCTAACCTGGCCTTGAACACTCCCAGGGATRGTGCAGCCACAGCTCCTTTGGGGCTCCCATCTTCACAGAGGAATTTTTTCCAGGTGTGTTTGGCTGCCCCACCACAGTGGCCAACGTGGAGACGGTGTCGGTGGCCCCCACGATCTGCCGGCGCGGTGGCGCCTGGTTCGCCAGCTTCGGCCGGGAGCGGAATTCAGGCACCAAGCTCTTCAACATCTCGGGGCATGTCAACACGCCCTGCACGGTGGAGGAGGAGATGTCGGTGCCACTGAAGGAGCTCATCGAGAAACACGCTGGTGAGTGCCACAGCCGAGCCACCCTGGGCCGGAGCAAGGCTGGAGCTGCCTGTCCTGACTCCCCTCTTTGCAGGAGGTGTCCGTGGGGGCTGGGACAACCTGCTGGCCGTCATCCCGGGAGGCTCCTCCACACCGCTGCTGCCCAAGTCTGTGTGTGAGACGGTGCTGATGGATTTCGATTCCCTGGTGCAGGCACAGAGCGGGCTGGGCACGGCTGCCGTCATCGTCATGGATAAATCGGTAAGGGATGAGACCCCTCTCTGACCCCCCTGGCCACGGTGGGACCCTCACCTTTCCCTCCCTCCTTCTCCAGACTGACATCATCAAAGCCATTGCACGCCTGATCGAGTTCTACAAGCATGAGAGCTGTGGGCAGTGCACCCCATGCCGGGAAGGTGAGTGGGGGGCCATGGGTGAGGGGCTGTGGGGTGGGGGCACTGCATGGACCCGTCCTGATCCCAATTCCCRCAGGTGTGGACTGGATGAACAAGGTGATGGCGCGGTTCGTGCGGGGCGAYGCGCAGGCTGCCGAGATCGATGCGCTCTGGGAGATCAGCAAACAGATCGAGGGACACACCATCTGTGCCCTGGGCGATGGGGCGGCCTGGCCTGTGCAGGTGAGTGGCCCAGAGGGCCCAGGAGGGCCAGCAGCTTTCCCCCACCCCGTTAACCAGCTCCTCTGCTCCCTGCAGGGCCTCATCCGCCACTTCCGCCCCGAGCTGGAGGAGAGGATGCGGCGCTACAACGAGGCCAAAGCCCGAGCAGTGTCAGCGTAAAGGTTCACCACCACACCTCCCTTCTCCTGCCTGCAAGGGGCTTCTGGGGTAATGGCAGCACTTGGAGGGTCTCCAGAGAGTCCTTAATAAAGGCTGCTGTGCTCCCAGGATCTGCTGTGGACATAAAATGGTGGGAAGGGTCTAAGGGGGCAGGAGCATCTGGGTCCTGCCTCCCCTGGAGCAGATTTCCTCAGGGATCATGGGGTCACATGGCCAGAGCCTGGATACCCCCCTGCAGTGGAGATACTGAATTTCCATGAGGCTCCATGGCTTCTCTGTAGSACTGGGCATGTGGCAGACATGATAGCTGTGTGGTATTACACAGACACCGTCCCCTCCTTGGGGACCCCACGCTCCCTGTCCCCGCCGCAGTGGCCCCAGGACTCCTCCTCCTGTGCCTGTGCCAGGGGACAGCTGTCCTGGCCAYGCTCCACAACTCGGAGCCCAGGGCAGTTCCAAACATGGCTTTTACTGAATCACAGTGTGCGACATCAGCGCTGGGCTCGGGGCATTTCCCTGTGCACGGGTGGGGAACTGAGGCACGGGGACCCCACAGCGTCCCCCACCCCTCCCTGCTCAGGCCGGGTCTTTCCGGGGCGGCACRCGGGTCTTCCTGCGGTAGCGGCCGGGCACCAGCAGCTCCAGGGTCAGCTCGGTGACGATGGCCGTGAGCCCCCACACCTTGTGGGGGCCGTTGAGGAACACGGGCAGGGTGTATCCGTAGCCGCTGGCCGTGCGGAARTGGGTGTAGCCCTGGTTCTCCTCGCGGAGCAGGTGAGCCAGGGGCAGGGTGAACACCTCCTCCACCTGCCGGCACAGCCCGCGGTGAGGTGAGCGGGGTGGCTGCTGCGGGAAGGGGACGGGKCTGGGGACAGGTCACTCACCTCGTCAGGGTTGGGGGTCAGCGTCAAGGCCTCCAGCGGCCCCAGGTTGGCCACAACGGGCGCCACGGTCATTCCTTGCTGGAAAGTGTCAGCAAGGGATGGGGTGACACGTGCCCTCCCCAAAGTGCCCTCTGTGTGTCTCGACCCCCCCCAGTGCAGGCACCACCGTGTGTGTCACCCCCTCACCTGTGCCACTGCCTTGCACCCTGTCATCTTGAATCCCCAGAACTCTTGTCACCCATGTCCCTACTGACTTGTCCCTGTCACCTGTAACCCATCAGCTGTGTCCCTGTCACACCAAATCCACCACCCATGTCTGTGCTGCCTTGTCCCTGTCACACAGAATCCCCATCACCTCTAACACCTATCACCTGTGTCCCTGTCACCCGTGACCCTGCTGCTTTGTCCCTCATTCCAATCATCTGCCACCCACAACCCCCATGTGTGTCCCTGTCCCCCGTTACCTGCACCGTCACCCATCTTCCTGTTGCTGTGCCCCTGTCACCCAGAACCCCTGCTCTGTCACTTGTGTCCCTACTGCTTTGTTACTGTCAACTGGAACCCCTKCTCTGTGTTCCCGCGGCCTTGTTCCTGTCACCCTTCGTTCCTTGTTCTTATCACCAAGACCCCTGTCACGCCAAACCCATTCCCCGAAGCCCTTGTCCCTATCACCTCGAAGCAGTCACCCATACCCTGCTTCCGTCACCTCTGAACCTGCTGCCTTGCCTGTCACCTCCAACCCATTTCTGTGTCCCTGCCGTCTGTCCTTTTGTCCTTGYCCCGCACGCCCTTTTCCCCCCGAGTCTCCCCGCGCCCCTAAGCCCCGCCGTTCCCCGGTACCCGGTCGGGCAGCGTCCTCAGCTGTCCCCAGACGCTGGTGGGTGGCACCGCCACCCCCAGCTCCTCCCGCGTCTCCCGCAGCGCCGTGGCCACCGCGTCCCCGTCTGCCGGGTCCCGCCGCCCACCGGGAAAGCTGCGGGAGGGATCGGGGGGGAAGGCGGGGGTCAGGGCCGGCCCGGCCCCGGTGCCCGCTCCCCCCGCCGGTACCTGACGTCGCCGCTGTGGGGGCCGGCGAGGCGGCGGGAGCGGAGCGTGAAGAGCAGCGCGGGGCGGCCGCGCACGGAGCACAGCGGCACCAGCACCGCCGCC